AAAATACACAAATATGTCAAATATATATCTTCATCTCTATTTCTTATTAACAAAAATAATGAACTCGAGTTCATTGTTTCTTTACAACTCAATTGTATATTTTCAGCCGTAATTTAACGCTGTTTTCCACTGGTTGAATTTTAACCAACATTGTGCAATTACAGCACCTTTTCAGATCTTAACAGATTTTAACAAAGGGGATTTCAACAGGGGTAGAATTCTATAAAATTAATGTGTTCAGTAGTGAAGGATTCTACCAAAAATTTCTTTCATAGACCAGTTCTAAAATTAAACTTCTGGGCCGGGTTGTTCAAAGCTCGATTAAGCTAACCCAGGATTAACAAGAATTTTGATTTCAGTTTTTGTAACTTTTCGGTGAGGTTTTCTGTTTATAATATTTGTCTTTCAGTCTAGCCAATCAAATCATGTGTCTTCTGAGCAATCATTTTTTCCGTGCCAAGGCAGCACTGGCAAAGAGGGACACGCTGCTCTGGTACACCCACCCCTTCCTTAGTGTATCTCCAAAAGTAGCTTGCATGCTTCGCACCCTAACTAGTTGTGTCAATCATGGCAAAAAAAAAAACAAGCAATAAACTTTAGTTCTTGTATTCGTGCAATTTTCTACACTAATTGTATATCGAGAATTTGTTCATATAGGGACTTTAACATGCAAATTGTGTTCAAGCCCCATCACTTACAAAATTTACTGCAATTGAAATAGCTAGATTATAATCATAATAAAAACAACACAACACATCCAATTCGCTCGAAAGTTGGTCCACAGAAACCTCCGATTACTGGTAGGGAGTACCATACCTAAAATGGCATGTTGTAAGCTGGTTGTAAGTTACTCGACGTCCTGTGGACATCACCGCCGAGTAAAGCGCTGCGATCTCAAGCTAAAGGATCCCAGGTCTGATTATTTGGTTCCCAAGTTCTTTCTTGGCGAAAAAAAGAGAGCTGAGCTTGGAGCACGATCGAGGATAAAAGCGAGTGTCGCATCAGAGCCTCCCTTGAAAAGCGTCGCGAACCACGAGAACTTCGGCCTACCGTGTGGCACTAAATTTTTGAGGGAGTTTATTTTTGCAAATCGGCGATTTTTTGTATTTTTCGGGAACTAAATGTTGTGATTGTAAAGAACTGGTTTTTGTTGTTGGTACTAATTTTTTTTTTGCGATTTTCGGGAAGTCGAGATTAATTGAAATTACAATATTTTCGCATTTTTTGATTAAATTGCACGTGAAACAACATGGAGAGATGTAAAACAGAGTAATCCAGAAAGCATGCAGTGTCACTCTATCACGATTACACTGTGCTTTTGCGTGGCTGATAGCAGCAACAAGATTCTCTTGCGATGTTTGTATAAATAATTTCGGCTGAAGAGTTTGAAAGAAAAAGTAGTACACGGTAGGCGTCTGCGTTGCCCAGGCCTCAATATTTCGCCGCGGCCAATCGTTTTCGGGTTACGTGCTCCGGGGCGAAATACGTCACCGAAATCAATTGACCGTGAAAGTCTTGAAGAAAGCCGTACAGGAGCTTTGCAAGAGTCCGCGTAGGAGGTTAAGATCAGAACGAGCTGGGTTAATTGTTAATACATTTTTAAGAAGTGGACGATTGGGGCGAGGCAGTTACTTTTCGCTGTTATTTCGGTCATTCCTTTCAAATTTCTGTTTAGAGATATTATTTTGTACTTTTTCTGACCTACCACCTTTCACTTATACAAAAAAATGTTGTAAATGAATGAGTTTGAAATCGAGTTGTTTTGGTACATTTTGGTAATTTTGAAACGAAAATGTTTCAAGGGTATTTCATAACATGCCGAGAAAACAATTAAGTGGCAAAGCTACGCGAGTCACAAAACATGAACTGGTATAGCAATCAAAAACATTTAAATATAAAAATGGAGTTGCTGCATATAGGTAGCGGTACAAGAATTGCTGAAAAGTCTCTCCTAAAAAATATGAGAGACAAAAAACGTTGGGATGTCTACACAAAAAATAACGCCTTCTGACTGATGACCATGTATCCTTTTCAGTGAAGTCTTTGTTCAATTTTTCAAATCAACCTCTGTTCTCCAAGGAACTCTGAAATATTGTCGCCTAAGTTGGATGGGTAGTTAGATAGTTTTAGCGATCGTAATTTTTGGGTGTATTGAGGGTTTAAAAACCTTCGTACAATCCTCCGCGATCTCGATATTGCATCCACCGAGAAAGAAAAAAACGAAAGAAACGAGAAACGAAAGAAATGAAATAAACGAGACTCCACGAGTTTTAATGATAAGATTCCTTTAATTTCCCCATGTATAACATCACATTCTACAAGAATGTTTCTTCAAGACTTCATCTTCTGATCGATCCAGTTTCTGAACTTGGCAACACGAGCAAAGACCGTGTACAGCTCTGCTGCAGAACATCGCGAAGAACCCCAGCTAACAGCGCCTTGTAGTACCCAGTTCCCTCCGGCAGTCTGGCATACGTATGGACCTCCGCTATCTCCATGACAACCACTAAGATTAGTTCCGCTGACGCCAGCGCACAGCATGTTGTCGGTGATTTTAAGGCTGGATCCAGCTATTAATCAAGTTATTTGACGGAGGGGATAAAAAAAGTTATTAACGGAGGTAAATAGGATAGACAAACAAATCCTAAACAAAATGGATTTCCAAGTAGCCTTGTATTTCCAATGGTTAGTTTTCAAATCAGAATTAAATAGGATAGACAATCAAATCATAAACAAAATGGATTTCGAAGTATCCTTGTATTTTAATAGTCATAGCTGACTCAAAATTTCATTTCTTATCTGAAAGGTCGACTTGCATTTATTCATGTGTGTTCAAGCAAATGGCACTAGTCAGTCAGAGCAAACAAGTATTTTAACTTTTTGCCCCATAGTCGACGTGAAAGTCATTCCAAGAGTAATATCATTACGTCTTGCTATCGTTGTCACGTTGTTGCTTTTTTCCGAGAGCTTTTGAATAATTTGCCGTTACAATAAGTACAACTTACCCGGGGACGATGCCAATTTTTTCTGACAGGCTGCCTTTGTAACGGGTGGCATCTGAGCTTGTTGAAGAATGTCATGCGAACCTCCTGGATGTTTAATCTTTCCCCAACCTGGAAAATATTGATTTGTTGTCAAATCACAGTGTACTGTTACAGTTGTAATCGTATCTATGACAAAATTTTCGATCGTCATTGGTTCTCCGCCCTATCTGTGACATATGTCTAGCATGCCTACAGGCGCTTAGCGGAATAGGCTCTTGGCCGACATATTTGTTGGGTGATGCAGCAGCTGTCGTAATGTCTCGTAAAAAGCAAACAACTGAAACAATAGAAAAACAAACAAACAAACAAACAAAACAGAAACAATGCACCTAGCCCTAAAACAATAACAGCTATACAGTATAACGACAAATAGAATTGCATGCTTATGAGAGCGGGTACTCTTGCCAATTTGTCACTGGACGGCCACTCAAAGAGTCCTAGATAAAGCCTTGATTCACTGCATGCCAATAATGCATTTTATTACAAGGGTAATGAATCAATAAAATTGATATTTCCCTAAACATCAAACCA